GAGGGCTTTTCCAACCCAGTTGATTCTGTGATTCTAGGATTCTATGACTGTGGAGCACAGGCTCCAGTGTTGAGGTCCTAAATTCTTCTATATAAAAACTAGTTCAGTAACCTCTCACAGCTGAGACATATATTAGAGACGTACAAACCTCTGTGTCTCTTCATCTCATCTCCTCAAAACTTGACCCCACTCTCTCTTTCCCATTCACTTTCTTTCTGCCTCTCCTAAAGTTGAATCCCAAACCTCTGTTAGAAGGTTTCTTGAAGGGATGAGAAAGAAGTTTTGGATGAAACTAGAATAAGACTTCAGTTTGACTAAAATAAAAATATAATGTGGTGTAGTATCACATCCAGGCACCAGCAATATCTTTTTGAAGTGCTGTTCAGAGAGGGAAACACAGGATTGGAAAAAAATCATCTGGCTGTGAGTAGGAGTTCTGCCAGGCTTCCTAATCATTAGATGATGTGTGGACTCTCTTCCTCTCTCCCCTTAATTGGAGGAGCTGGCGGGATGAGGGCAGAGAGGCAGCAAAGGGTGTGAGACCCATTTGGGGAGGTCTGAGAAAGGTATAAAGGTATAAACTCCCTTTCTTCTTGTGCAGGTCCCTGGCTACAGGCAGGAGAGGGTGGAGAAAGGCCTGAAGCTCTTTGCCCAGCTCATCAACAACAAGGTGTTCCTACTGTCCTTCATCCGCACCCTGGAGTCCCAGCGCAGCTTCTCCATGAGGGACCGCGGCAATGTGGCCTCGCTGATCATGACAGTGCTGCAGAGCAAGCTGGAATATGCCACTGATGTCCTCAAACAGCTCCTGGCCGACCTCATAGACAAAAACCTGGAGAGCAAGAACCACCCCAAGCTGCTGCTCCGGAGGTGAGGATGGCTGGGGCTGGAGGGATTTGGGTTGGGAAGCCTGTGCTCCACTGTCCAACATAATCATAGTCATCTTTGGAGGAAAGATGTAGCTCCTCCTCTCCTCCCTAACCAAAAAATGGTCAATGATTGACAGTTACAGAATTGGGTTAAGTTACAGTTAAGGAATTAAAAGTTCCAGAACTAAACTATCTCCAGATTTTCATGTGGATCATCCATAAAGCTTCATAAGGGCAGCAAAAGTCCCTGTTTCCTAATCCTTATTTTGGACTCTCTGTGTGCTTAAGATGTTAAATTTAGGCTTATTTTTCCTTTTAACCTACAAACTCCAACTATGTTTTGTAGGATCTCTAAGTGTATCCCATAAAACAGGCTGTGTTATATCCCTGGTGAGCAGTATGTCAACTTCTTCCATCTCCTGCCTGGGGTGTGGAATTCCCAGCTTTGTTTTTTGTTCCTTGATTACCTATGAACACATGGAGAGTCTTCAGCTGCACTGTGGGATCTCCTGTGTCTCCCAGAGCATTGGTACTGGGAGTTTGGGGAAGGCAGCAGAAGAGCTGAGCAGGACAACAGAGCTGGTTTTATACAAGGCACAAGTTTGAATTGGTGCTTCTTGGCCTGGTGTGAGGTCTAAACTCCACAGTTCTGTGGGAAACCTCAAGTTAGAAATCTACTGCTCTGTAATTTAAATGCCTTCCCTACCTAAGGAAGTGCTGCCTCTTCTCCCTTTAGGATCAGATTCATCTTCTTTTCACGGTCTGACCCAATCCTTCTGATCCTGAGTAAAATCAGGGGGAGTCTTCTGGAGAGGAATGGCCTTTGCCACTGCTCAGAGCCAACTCTGAGGAGCCCTCAGCTGATTATGATGGATGGCTTGGGCAGGGAAGAGATCTCTGGTGCCTTCTGGGAGGCTTTTCCTTTGGCACATGGCCCACTATGGTCAATCAGTAGAAAAGGGAGCAGAAGGCACTTCCTGGCATTCAGGGCAGCAATGCCAGGGGCACAGGCTGGACTTTGCTTTGGTGTCAGTTGACTGCCTGATGTGATTCAAGCCCTCCAGCCTGGCTGGTGACCACCCTGCAGCTGTCCCCAGACTTCCTTTCTGTGCTTCTCCTCTGATGCTGGATGGCACTGCCTCCTTCCAACTGTCTCCTCCCTTCATGTTCTCCTTTTTCTTCCCCTTTCTCCATCTCTTTATCTTTCCTGGTTGCTCATTACTGTCTTGTCCTGAGAATCCCATCTTTCCTCTTTCTCCTTCCTGCAGCTCTTTTCTAACTCTCTTTGTTGGACATTAATTGTGGCCTTTGGAAGGAGAGCCAGGGAACAGAGAAGGCACATCCACTGTTCCAAGGTCTGAAAACATGAGGAGAAACCAGAGATGTGCTTTGTGCTCTGAGATGGAGGTCCTGCCCTGAGCAGCACCAGCACAGAACACATGAATAGCTCAGTGCCTTGGGTCAGATGTTGGTATGAGGTCCTCACACAATGATTTGGAGCAGCTGGATCCAACTTGATGCTTCCCTCTCCATGAGTCTGTGGATGGAAGTGAATATTCCAACACCTTTCTGCAGTGGCCGTTTTGGAGATATTTGACAGAAAGAAGGAGCTGGCAGAAGTGATTTTCCCCCCTCACCTGAGTCCAGTGTTCATCCCACATGGCATCTACAGCTCCAAAGAGATTTTTCAGGGCAGGGAACAACAAAAACAAGCAAGAACCCCTGTGTGGCTTTGGTGAGAGCCAGGACAAGGAGGATCCACTTTAATTCAACCAGACAGGGACTTGTGCTTTCTTCTTGAGCAGCACCAGTGCATGTAGTGGAGCCAACAGAGGTTTATCCTGTGCCCCTGGTGTCCAGACCACACTTACAGGTCTGAGTTGGTCTTTCTGTAGGAAAAGTTCATCCTGAAGCCTCGAGATGGATCTCTGTTTCGTGGAGGACAGAGTGTTCAAGGGCAAAAGCATGAGCTCTGTGAATGCTCCACATTGCCACACTGAGGAGTATAATCACTCCCAAATGCCAGGGAGATAGGCAGTGCTGGATAACTGCTCCCTAGTGATTTAGATCTGTCTCTCTTGAGTATTTATATAGCCTACTTGACATATGGCCTAGCTCTGAGCTCCTCATATTTGATGGATTTATCCTCCCTGAGCTCTTTGCATCCCTCAAATGTTGTCAACTCTTTTTCGTTGTTGAAGAAACTGAAAAACAGACACACGGGGAGTTCTGGTCACAGGAGAGTCAACAAGGCAGTAAGAATTTGCAGGTTCCCTAAATCCAAAACGTGCTGAAGCCTGAGATTGTCGTGCCAGACTTAGCACAGGGCTCAGAGATCTGGGCAGTAAGATGGACCAGGCCAATATTTTGCTTAGTTCTTTGATAGGATCAGCACAACTAAATCACTTCCAATTTGCCTTTTCTCCCTCCCTGAATTTAGGACAGAGTCTGTGGCTGAGAAGATGCTCACCAACTGGTTCACCTTCCTTCTCTACAAATTCCTCAAGGTAAGAGGAGCCTGGAAAAACAGCTGCTTTAATGCATTTCTTCCTGGTGAGGTTTGGTTGGGGCAAAAACTTCCCAGATATAAAGGAAAAATTCTTTTTTTTTCTCTGGAAGGAGGTCACTGCCTAATAGGAGAGATGGGATGTTTTCTCATCCAGGAAGAACAAAGAGGGACACTTTGTTAGAGAAGCAGCCTGCTGGTCTTTCTCCTTGCACAGAGGTGGTATCTGAGGGTCAGTGCTGAAATGTGGATGTTTTCAGACCATGATTGAGACCTGTATGGAAAATGCTCTCTTTTTACCAGCAGCCTGAGTTCTCCATCATGTGGTGACCCATATTTTCGGTGCGTGGTGGCTGGAGATCTCCTTCCACCTCAGTTCAGAGGCAGTACTGAGATCCAGCCCCAGCTGGAAGGATACTCAGCAGCAAAAGAGTGAAAGAACCCTCTGAGCCCTCTTGTTCCTCCTGGAAGGTCTCCTTGGGGTGGTGGGTAGCAAAAAAAAAAAAAAAGTCTTTCAGCCTTTGAGACCTGCTGGGTGATGGCAGGTCCCCCTTGGGGGACCCACACTGAGCCCCAGGCATGACAATTGCCAAGAGACCAAACTCAGAGCCAGCCTGTTGGGAAGGAGCTGAGCTTGCTCCTCTCCCCCACTCCCAGTGCAGTTGCTAAATATCCTCACACCTGACAGCCTCATTTGGACACAATAACCACCCTCTGCCTGGCAATTCAAGGCTTCACAAACAAACCCCAATCCCCTGAGCCTCCCCCAGTTCAAGGATGAACACAGGGGAAAGTTTTGAAGGTCCCTGGAAGGTAATTTTAGTGACTTCGGTATCAGATCCCTGCTCTGAGCTGAAAGGAAAGGATATAAGGAGGTGACTCTCTAAAGAGCTGCTTTTATAATAGGCTTTTTTCACCCCACTCAGCTACTTGTCTTCTTGCCTTAGCCTGAACAGAGGCCTGATAAGGGCAAGAGACAGGCACACAGAAGCAATATGCTGCTGGCAGATAAGCTAATTAAGTGGGAGACAGGTGTAGGAACTGAAAAAGGGGCCACTTTGCTTCTGATTATTAACTTGTTTTCCCTGGGATTTACACCGGGGGAAAATGACCTCGCTCCCTGAGTTGGGACACAAGAGGAGAGGGTGAGGAGGGGAGGAAGGATGAAGGGGGAAAGAGGTAAGAGGGGAAAGCATGAGGAGGGGTTCATGGCAGGGAATGTGCTGAGGGAGGGCAGCAAAGGAGGAGAGGCTGGAAAAGTGTGGGGAGAGGAGTACAGTGAGTGTGAATGATGAGGGGAAATTAGGGAAAGGTGTGTTTGCTGGCCCTGCCTGTGGGCTGCTTGTTGCTGTCCCATGTGGGCTCCACACATCTGACATCACCAGTGCAACCACACAGACCCAAGGGCACATCTCCCCTGGCTCATGGAGCTGCTCCTGCCTGAGCATCCCTGTTTGCCTCCAGCATGAGGGTGCTCAGGGAGGCTGTGGACACTGCCCAGACACCCAGAACAAGGCACCATCAGTCCATCTCCCTTTCAGAGTTGCCTCCAGGTTCTCTGGAACCCTCCCCACCAGTGCAGAGCTCTGGCCTGGTGACACTGACTGGAACAGCACCTGCAAGGCTCTGCCAGTCCCAGCACTGCCAGGGAGCACTGACACCTTTGTCCCATGACAGCACACTGTGGGATTGGCTTTCCAGGGCTGGTTGCACTCTGTGGAAGTGGAGGGTGACCTCTGCTCCTGGGCTGTATGGAATACACTGATGTATTGGTCTGGAGAGACTGGGGATGGCAAGCCATGGCAGTCACTGGGATGCCACGTGGGTTTGGTTCTCACCTCTCCTCCTCTTGTTTCACCTCATGGTTGTCTCTCACCCCTTCAGGAGTGTGCTGGAGAACCTCTCTTCTCCCTTTTCTGTGCCATCAAGCAGCAGATGGAGAAGGGTCCCATCGATTCCATCACTGGGGAGGCCCGGTATTCCCTGAGTGAGGACAAGCTCATCCGACAGCAGATCGACTACAAGACACTGGTGAGTGCTCTGAGTCCTGTGGGCTTGTCCAGAACCTTCTAGAAAAATGGAATTTAGAAACAGAAGCCCATGATGGGCATGCTGACCCTCTGGGACAATTATCCCCGTATCCCAGCAGGGTAACCCTGCTGTAGATTGATTATTAAAATTAAAAATCTCTTTCTCCCGTGAGGATTTCAGCATCAAGGGATATGTCAGAGGTACAGAGTGGAGGGACTTTAGGTCTGCTCTAGAACTTGTGCAGCCATTCCTCTTGAGGAAGCACAAGTCAAAGAAAAATGAAGTTGATTTAAAGATTTCAAGGGGAAGAAAACTAATCCCTGGCACTGAGTCATTCGCTTCAAAATGGAATTGTCTGCATGGTGCAAGATATACATTGCAGATGTGCAGCTTTAGCTTCTGCTCTGAGATTACACCCTTTCCCACTTGATTAAAGAGCATCAATTAAAGAGCATTAGATATCTCTTCTTAGTGTGTTTTTTTGGGCCTTCATTCTTTCCTGGATACGCTAAATCCACGGAGCTTCTAAGTCTCTGTGGGATAAAGATCACTTTCTAAGTCTTCAATGATCCTTGTAATTTTTCTCTTCCCTGTGCCTTTGTCCTCAGACAAACCCAACCCCAATTTTAGGACAGTCAGAAGATGCTCTAAATTGATCAGATTATTTTAACTGCAGTTTCGTATGAGGGACATTCGTTTCACTTCACTCTAGATAGCTCTGAAAACTGTGCCTAATCATAGAATCACAGAATGGTTTGGGTTGGAAAGGACCTTAAAGATCATCTGGTTCCAACCCCCAGTCGATGTTGGCTCCTTGACCTGTCTTAAACCTCAGCTCAGGTGGGCTGATGTTGAAATTCTGCTTGTCTTCAGTCTAGAGCTGAGCTTTGATCGAATCCAGGTCTGATGGGGGGTTGGATTTTATCCTTAAATAAGATCACACTTTTATTTTGTGTATTAAAAACGTGACTTTCCTGTTAAATCATCAGCATGGTCCTTCTTTGCTGTTGTTATGGAACAATTCAGAGGCTGTTCTCACACGGAGAGAGGGAGCAGAAGGAAGGAAAACACAGACATGGAGTGATCCCTTTCACCAAAGGAAATCCCCCCAGATCCTTTTAGGCTTGATAGAAAGCAGCCAGCAAAGAGTAGTAATTATACAGCAGCCTGAACAAAGCTCTCCTCCTTCCCTTTGTGCTGTTTGATGTTAATCAGCTCTCCCTCTTACATCTCAAGAGCAGACAAATATATCCCGATAGGAATCTCAGCAGATTTACAGAGATCAGCTCCGGTGAAGGAGATTAAGAAGCAGCAGAATGGGAACAGGATTGTTCTTCCTTTCTGTTTCTCTTTATTTCTGTTTAATTTTGTCCTTTCTCTACCTTCCTTCAGCATTGTGACGCATCTTATTAAAAATATACAGTCATGAAATAAAGCAAAGAACTGATTTAGTGTTTTTCATGTGGGAATTCCCTCAATCTCCTGCTCTAAACCAGCACTGTGAGTTTGCAGTTTATGGGGCTAAAATTCCCTGGGATGTTCACATATCCTGAGCGCTTGGCTGAGGTAAATCCCAATTCCAGCAGTGTGGCACATGGAAACAGGCTGTTTATTGCCATTATTCCTGGAAGACAGGGCCAGGGCTGCTTTTGGAAGGCACATACTCCAGGATCTTAGAGGTCTTTTCCAAACTAAAGGATTCTATGATTTATTCTTTAGCCTTCATTAATCATGACCTGGCGAAGAGAAGCTTTGGGGTGACCTAATTGTGGCTTTGTGGTACCTGAAAGGAGCCCACAAAAAAAGATGGAGAGAGACTATTGACAAGAGCATGGATTAACAGGACAAGGGGGAATGGCTTCAAACTGAAAGAAAGTAGGTTTAGAGTAGATATTAGAGAGAAATTCTTTACTGTGGGGGTGGTGAGACACAGGAACAGGTTCCCCAAAGAAGCTGAGAATGCTCCATCCCTGGAAATGTCCAAGGCCATGTTGGACAGGGCTTGGAGCAACCTGGGATAGTGGAAGGTGCCCCTGCCCATGGCAGGGGGGTTGGAACAAGATGATCTTTAAGGTCCTTTCCAACCTAAACCATTCTATGATTTTATGATTCTATTCTATGACCTAATATTTTAAATCACGGTTTTGAACATGGTTTGAGTGAACAGCAGATCCAAAGGAATTGACTTATCCAGGGAGAGAAAAAAAAAGATAGAGCACATTCAGGCACCTGGAATGAATTGATTTTACAATACACACCTCAGGTACTAAATTTAGATTGTTTTGGTCTGGTTTCTCTGCAAAACCAGGTAGCTCCAAGTTGCTGTCTGCCAGGTCCTACAGGTGTCCAAGGAAGCAGCCCTTGGTGTCTGAGGGTCTTTGCAGTCTGTAAGAATTCCTGTACTTACAAGGGAATTTTCAGCCAGGAGAAATTAAGCTACTTACAGATGTGATTTGCTGGAATAAATGGTTGCAGCTAAACAGTGGGCCTTCTCTAATCTGTGAACCCCAGAGGAACCCCCTCTTGTGTTAGTGCTCTTGAAAACCCAGCTACATTATCCCGTCTATGAGACACAGGCAGATTTCATCCCTGCTGGCTGCCATCTGCCTTTGCCAGAATCCATGGGGTTTTTAGCCATTCACCAAAGGAGAATCCAGATGCAAAACCCTCACTGCTGCTGCCACTGCTCTGCCTTCACTGGGAGGTGAAAAACCATCCATCTCCTGCAGCAGCTGCATTTCTGTTGATACAAATAACACAAGGGAGCAAAGAGATGTGTTAGAAGCTGTCAAGAGTGTTGGCTAATTAGTGTTTGAGGGTGACAGGGAGGAGATGCCCAGAACATCTGGAGCAGTGACCTACCCTGTGTGGTCCCTGCACACCTCAGTGGCTCCACTGCTGGCAGCCTAATGGGATCCTCTCTCCTGAGAACGTAGACCAGATGGATAAAGATCCTTCCAACTGCCTTTGGTTAAGGCTTTTGAGGGAGTTTGGTGGCAGGAAGAAAGTCACCATCAAGATATTGGAAGAGGTTGCCCAGAGAAGTTGTTGACACCCTATCCCTGGAAGTGTTCAAGGTCAGGTTGGATGGGGCTCTGAGCAACCTGGAATAGTGGAAGGTGTCTCTGCCCATGGCAGGGGGTTGGGACTAGATGGTCTTTAAGATGCCTTCCAACCCAAACCATTCTGTGATTCTATAATTCTATGACATCAGAAGGCTTTCCTATGCTTGGTTTTTTTGGGGGTCCTTCTCCTTTTTCTCCACCAAGCCTCTCTGTTTGCAACCCCCCTTGAACGTTTCAGCCCAATCTAGAAGGGAGAGAAGGATTTCTGTCCCTGGGACAGAAACTGTAGGGACATCCAACTCCCAGGTCAGGCCACTGCAGAGAACTCAGAGCCATATGAGTAGTTACAAGTTCTGCCTTTATTATTTAAATGTCAGTAATCTGTAATGGCCATCAGGGCTTAGCTGAGCTAAGCTTTGCATGTATATAAGACATTTAGAGACAGTTCATGACTGGAAGGGCTAGCAGATAAAAAAAAAAAACCAAGGATGTTGAAAAAGGTCAATAAACACAAATCCAGTGAGATGACACATCCCAAGGTCATACAGGGGAAGGGCAGGGCTCAGAGATTACTGCTCAGTGTGCTCCCAGTCCCATTCCTTTTCATATTGACCCCACAACTGGCACATCCTCATGTGACACAGACCCCAGTGCGTGACAGAACAGCAGTGCCAAGTGCTCTTGTCCTCTCAGTGCCAAAACATTCACATCCTTGAGTGACACTGAAGTCTCCTCTCCCCTTCCTCCACTTCACCAGCTCTGCCCCTCAGGGCTCAAAGGCAGGTGGTGGCTGATGGAGCAGCAGCAGTGACTGCATTTGGGAGATCAGCACTGCAAAACTTCCCTCAGGGTGACTAATCCTGTGGGAATACAACACAGGCCATTAGGGGGTATCTTCCCCACCAGTGGACATCCAAGATTGATGCAGCTGAGCAGCAGTGCAGGAGCAATGAGATTAGTTCTTTGTCTTAGCTTGGTTTTCATCAGTACAGAGAAAAGTTTCTTGCTCCACAAGAGCAGGAAAACACCAGTGGAGAGTTGATGTGAAACCTGGGGCACGTATGTCAAAGCCACTGTGCTCTGGGAAGGGTGTTGGTTTCCATAAGTGATATGTGAATTCCCTAAAATGTTGAAAAGAGCATCCTGATGGTCATTGTAATGAACACATGGCAGCTCAGGGGTTTACAGGGGCTTACAGGGTTCACCTTCCCCACCTATGTCTAAAATCCCTGAAAGCAAACTTCTTTCAAATATTGCCTTCCTTGCTCTTTCTTCTTATTCCAGCTGAGCTGGCAGAGGAAAGGGCTGTGGTAGTCAAGGCATGAAGGACTGTGACTCACTGGGCAGAGTTTTCTGACACCTTCCAAACCTGGCAGCCTGTGAAATTCGAGGATAAACAAGTTAAAAAGAGCAAATCCCCATTGTCACCTTCCAGCTGGTGGGTGGGTACTGGTGTGGTGGACACCAGTCAGCACCTGCAGGAGGTGTTGGGTCCTCTGGACCAGATGTTGGCCTGGCAGGGCAGCTTAGATTGTTTTAAAGAGCACTAAAGGGCCTCTTGCTGGGGACTAAACTGAACTCCAGCTGTTTGAATCAGGGATTAATCCCAGCACAGGGCTTGTTGTGCTTGGCATCAGCTCATTTCACCTCAGCTGAGATCAGATCTCTGGGAGACACCTGCAGAGTACCTTGGTGTCCAGAGCCATGTGTAACCCCCATAACACTCTCAAAAGAGCTGTCCCAGCCTGCCATCCCTTTTCCATTTCCCTACAGGTGTGTAATAGGATAATTTAGGTTGGAAAGCACCTTTAAGGTCATGGAGCCCAACCATAACCCCAACAGCAGCACAGGCTCCCAACAATCAAGTGTTTATTTTCTGGATACACCCAAGGAGTTTGCACAGGAAGAGTTTCCTGCAGGCAAGGAATGGGCACAGCCCAAGAGGGCTGCACAGGGCTACACCAACTAATAACCTCAACACTGGATGCTGCATTTCAACAGGGCTTTTTATGTCTAATTCTGTGATCCTTTGAGATGAAAGACGCCACAGAACTGTAAATCTGGGCTGTTATTATTATCTGAATTGATGCTTCTTCAATACTTCTGGAAGTGACATATAAATAATAGCATTATGATCTAATCAATATCTCATATTTACATCTCCCCTTTCATCCAGCAAGATCACAGAGCTCTTTGTAAGCAAAATCTTCACAAGTCCCTCTTAGTTGAGCATAACATCACCAAAGGGAGCCTGGGGAGCCAGTGTGTAATTATACTGATATGATTTCACCCTGTTTTAAGCAACTTTGAGCTCCCACTGCATCTTAGTAGGTGAAGATAGAAGTGATGGAGGGTCCAGCACCTCTTGTGTGCTACAGAAGGGAATTTACAGTCAAGATAAAATTTGTTTCAGGCACCAAAACTAACAAGTCTGCACTTGTAAAAGGTGGCCCAGGAACATTTAATAGCTATATATTGCCTGGAGCACTAGGGAACACTCCTTTCAAGTGCAGAGGTGTGCTAAGTTTATAAAACTTTATAGACTTCACACTTCTGTAGCCAAAAGAGAGCAGAATGGTCAGTGCAGACATGGCCGAGGGTGAGCAGCAGGTTGCTCTTAAACACTCTGTGAGTGTGTTTAAGGTTTTCCCCCCTCACCACCCCATGTGCTTTGAATTTACTCTTGGACAGAGCCTTTGGAGAAAATTAAATTTTCCTTCAGAGAGACGAGAGGCCTCTCCAGTTGGGTCAATTTTCTTCTGCTAAATGTGAAAGCAGAGGTTGTTGATGTTGTCTTGTGTTTCATTTTTAAAGAAGCCCTGCATTTCAAAATGAATCACATTCTTCTGAGAGGGGCCTGGTCAGTGCCATGGCTGGGCACATTTAAGGTTTAGAGGTTGAAGAGCGTTTTCACCCGAATTATCAAAGTCAGGTGGCACTGCAAGGAGACCTCTGCTGAATTAGGGCACCTTGCCAGCTATCCAGGAAGCATGGAATGGGTCAGAGGCCAAGGAAAGCTCTGGAGAGCCCTGTGGGTATCAGTTGGGCTTCAGCCAGGGTCAGACCTGGGTACATTTTTAATGGATTCTATGAAAAGTTTGCACCAACGACCATTTGTACAGAAAGCACCAGAACCCACGAGCTGGTATTCATGGGCTCTATGTTATGAAGAAAGAAATTCTTCCCTGTGAGGGTGGTGAGGCACTGGAACAAGTTGCCCAGAGAAGCTGTGGCTGCCCCATCCCTGGAAGTGTTCAGGATCAGACTGGAACAGGGCTTGGAGCAACCTGGCCTAGTGGAATTTGGGGCAGGGGAATTGGAATTAGATGATCTTTAAGGCCCCTTCCAACCCAAAGCATTCTGTGATTCTGTGATTAAGTATAACAAAGATGCCAAGGAAATCAGTCTCAAATCCAAAGGGCTGTTCCCACAGGTACAGCAGTTCCAGCTCACAGGGATATGAGACACCAGTTCAGAAAAAACTCCACATCAGCCCTAAGTCAACTTAGGGGCTGTAACATCTGGGAGCCCACAGCACGTACTTAGAGCCAAACACGGAGTTTCCTTTAATTCCCTGGGCACAGCTGTGGGTGCAGGGAATCCCTCCCGTGTGAAACCAGATCCCTGTGCCTTTTTGAAGGAGGGAATACTCTCAAGGCCCATTTTTCCCTACTGTTGCACCCTAGATGGCTTGTGGGATGCAGAGAGCAGCCAGAGGGGCAGCCAGAGGGTACCTGTGCTGCTGTGCCCTGTGTGGTGGGTCTCACTGCCTCTCTCTCAGGTCCTGAGCTGCGTGAACCCCGACAACGTGAACAGCCCCGAGATCCCGGTGAAGATCCTGAACTGTGACACCATCACACAGGTCAAGGAGAAGATCCTGGATGCCATCTTCAAGAACGTGCCCTGCTCCCACCGCCCCAAGGCTGCTGACATGGATTTGGGTAGGTGATTGACCTCAGGCAGGGGGGAACTGGGGAGGGGAGGCAGCCAAACCCCATCCAGACCCTTTCCTGGGGCAGGTGTCCCCTCTCCAGGCTGAGTGTACCCTCAGAGCAGCAGAGAGAGGGCAGATGAGACACTGTGTTGATCTTATGGAATCTTTGGCCTTTAGGACTTCAAAAGACCAGCAGCCATTCCTGCTTTCCTGCCCACAGGATTCACCCCAGACAAGGGTGTGGAAAAAGCATGAGTGGGAATGTTCTTGCTCTCTTGCCAAAGACCCCTGGAAAAAGAGTACCTGGAGCAAGGATACTGGGAGGAGTGAGATGTCTGAGTTTGGGGTCCACAGGCAGATGTGATGCCACACCTGGAGAGTGCTATGAAAAAAATGTAGGAAAATCTGCTCAGGGCATTGCTGTGGTGTCTGGTGTGGGGCTGGGGACTGCACTATGGGTGCATCTGCCAGAATTTTCCCTCAGTGACCTTCAGGGAAAGAGACTGGAGTGGAAAATGATGGAGTCTATAAAACTCAGCAAAGTTGTAGAGGAACCAAAAGGAGAGGGAATGGACCAAGGCCAAGAAACAATTCACAGCAATAAATGAAGACAGGAATGAGAGGTCAGGGATTAAAGTTAAGTGTCTGTGTGTGTGTATATGCAGGGCAGGGAGGGATTCCTGACAGAAATTGCTCATGAAAAGCAGTTAAAATAACGAGACAAGCTGCCAAAAACAGCAGCAGTAAAGAACAGATCATATACATCATCAGGAAAGGACCCACAATGATTGTGGAGCTGCTGGGAGTCAGCAGGGGGATGATGAGTGCTGAGGTGAGCAGGAGGGCAGGGAGGGCATGCTGCCAGGGGCACAGCAGAGCAGAGGAGTGGGGTTTGCAGTTGGATCTCTCGACCTGTCTGGTGCTGGATGGCACCCACAGAGCCCCCTTCCTTCAGACCTCAGACTGGGTGTGAGGGGGAAGCAGTTTGTTCTGCTGTGGGGATGAACGATGCATCCAAAATGGGATGCAGGAATTCTACCTACCTGCTGCAAATGCCTGGGATAAATTTGGCTCCACAGGTTCTGTTGGTGCTGTGAGACAACCATCAGATACAGAAGTGTGTGTGTGTGTGTGTGTGTGTGTGTCTGTGTGTCTGTGTGCGCAGGGTCCCTGACAATTTTACAGCCAGAATCGTTGCTGGTTTAAGAAATATTGACCTGTTCAAGGCCAGGCTGGACAGGGCTTGGAGCACCTGGTCTAGTGGAAGCTGTGCCTGCCCATGACAGGAGGTTGAAATGAGGTGGTCTTGAATGTCCCTTCCAACCCAAACAATTCTGTGATTCTATGATCTGAGTGGTTCTGAGGACCAGAAAGTTCCAGAGAGAAGACATGAGCATGTGCACCCCTCAGAGGACAGGCTTGCCCACAGTGACAAGAGATGGGCTAATCAGCAGCTCTTTGGACAGTAGGGGAAAAGAAAAACAAAATAAAACACACACAAAAAACCCCCTTATCTAGTAGGAGAGTCTTGCCACCAGCAGTGTAGTTGCTTCTTCACCATATCAGCTCCCAAGGTGGGAGGAGCAGGGCTGCCGTGGGCAGGACACTCACATCCACCCACACAGCTCCATCCCAGCTTTTTCCCAGGAAAAGATGTTTGTTGGCATCCCTCAGCGAGGTTGAAGGAAGCAAATAGGAGAGCAGAAAGCACTGCTGGCCGTTAGGAATCATCACAGAGCTCTCCAGATCAACCTGCCCCGGGCTGAATCCTCAGGATCGCAGAGGGGCTGGACCAGCCCCTGCTCACAGGAGGTCGGAGTAGATGACTGTGATCTGGCCTTGAAATCGATGGCTTTTAAACAGCGTTTTCTATTACCATTACAATTTCCAGGGCTTTCTGTCCCTGCTTAGGCCGGATTGCCCAGGTGGAAGAAAGCAAACAAGCTAATGAGTTGTTGTGAGTCGTAAAGTGCAGGGGAGCCGCAGGCACAGGGACTCCGTGTGTGTGTCGCAAATGTCATAATGTTTGGCTGTTACCCAGCAACTCCTGGAGGGGGTTGTCAGCTGAAAGCACTTATTTCGGACACCCTGAGGTTACATTTTCAGTCCGAGTCCCCAAATTGCAGCCCTCTGAGCAGAAAGACTTCTTTCTGCGGTGGCGATTTTCGTTATTATCATTTTTGAAGCCCTCACTGTAAATTAAATACCCTGTCTTTGGGAACACGTTCAGGTGTGGGGATCACAAAACAGGAATTTGGCTTCGTGCTGAGGCATTTGCTCTTCCCTGTGTTTTGGATGCTTTTTGAAAGGGGCTGCTGAGGTGGTGGGAGCTGCCAGGTTGGGTGCCTTGCACTCGGTGATGCTGTTGCAGGCTCGTTGTGGAGCTTATCAGACAAGTTCTTGCTGCCTCACCAGCCCTGCAGGATTAAAATGTGGAGTTCATTTAAACTGGAAATGTTTAAACTGGGTCTAACTCTGGTATATATTGAGTAAGGCTGACAGCTTGCACATATCCCCTGAAGACAAGCTCAGAAAGTTGGGGCAGTTCAACCTAGAGAAGACTTTAGGGAGAGCTTAGAGCCCCTTTCAGTGCCTAAAGGGGCTCCAAGAGAGCTGGAGAGGGACTTTGGGCAAGGGCTTGGAGTGACAGGATAAGGGGAAATGGTTTTAAACTATGAGGCAGGTTTACATGAGATGTTAGAAGGAAATTCTTTACTCAGAGGGTGGGGAGGCCCTGGCACAGGTTGCCCAGAGAAGCTGTGGCTGCCCCTGGATCCCTGGAAGTTCAAGGCCAGGTTGGATGGGGCTCTGAGCAACCTGGTCTAGTGGAAATTGTCCCTGCTCATGGCAGGGATTAGAACTGGATGATCTTTAAGGTCCCTTCCAACCCAAACCATTCTGTGATTCTGTGACTCGTTCCATACAGAATGAAATTATTCCCAGGCATCTTCTGTCTCTGTGTTCTGAAATGAACTCTTATTCCTAACAATGATGATCCTTTCTCTATCCCAAAACCAGAGCTGAGTTTCTCCTCTCTTTCTAGAGCTCATCACACAGGCATTTACCCCTTTTTGTTTCCTACCCACCTGCTGTACTGGTGCCTGCACACATGAACAGGGGGTTTATCCTTCTGTTTCCTGTGCCAAACTGCCTCTCACCTGGAAAATAAGACTAAAAGCAGCCCCCCAGCTCTTCAGACTAAATATTCAGGAGATGAGTGATCATGAAACAGGCATCAAGCCTGGGTGAGCCACATGCATTTGTTCCACACCTCATTGCTGTGCACAGGATGGTAGAACTGAGGATGAGGAGTCTAATGAAGGCACTTGGAGTGAGCTGGCAGGTCTTCCATCCACCTGGGAATTTCAATTGCTTCTGAAAAATGTTCCCTCTGCTGCACTTTTCTCCCTTATTCAATGGGCATTTTCAGGGTGACCCAGGTCAGAGAGAAGGCATGGGGGAGGTGGAACATTTTCTATAGGATTTGAGATGCAGGATGACATCTCCCCATCTCCCACTTCCCTATAGAGTCTTTCCTTGGCCAGGCATTGCTGCAGCTCCAAGAAGCACCTCCTTGTCAAAGGCCTCTGGAATTTCCTTTTTTTTTCCCAACCAACTTGAACAGGAAGGTTCTTTCTTAAAAAAAAAAAAAAAAAAAAAAAAAAGAAAAAGAAGAAGTAATTCCTGCGTGCAATAAAAAGATACACTATCTGCTGAATGAAATATAAAGGCTTCACAGCAGCTGTCTCCTGAGTTTGCATTTACTGCTGCTCCTGATTGGAAGGCTTGATAAAGATAATGGGATTTTTACCTCCCTCCCCCTCTGCCTCCCTCTCTCTGGAAGGTGGAAGTGTAACAAATTGGATTGGAGTGTGTCTCTCCTTTGTGCTGGCTCTGCTCAGATCTGATGAGAGAGGGGACAGGGGCTGCCAGCGAGGACAGAGCTCACAGTGCTCACTCAGTGCTGTGGAGATGGATGGCAGGGTCACCTTTTCCCTTCCCATTCCCTCTGCATTTCCTTGCAGATAGTTGTGTGACCCTCTGAGCTGACCCTCACAGAGAAGAGGAGCGTGAAGTGGGACTGGGAAGAGCTGGGGGTCCTTTCCCTGTCATTGCTCAGATGCCTGATGAAGTGATTTGTATTTGGCCAGGGCAAAATTGAAGCCAATGCTCTGAACATGCCCTGCAGGGTGTTTTCCTCCTTCTTTTGTCCTCTTAGACTGTCCCTTCCTCTTCCTTACATGATCCCTCTCTGCAGGAAGGCCAAGGGAAAGGGCTTGGGAATCCCCTGGGTCTCTGCAGGAGCACAAGAAGCTTGAGGGGACACCTCAGGATGTCCTCAGCTCCCCTGGAGCAGAGGGAAATCCACTCTGAGGACTTTGTCCAGCCTTGGCATACAAATAAAACACAGAGTGAGGAAAGCTGTGCCCACCCTCCTATCAAAGCCCCACGCCAGGAACCTGTGCATCCCTCCCAAAACACAGTGTGTGTGTGTCTTTCCCCAAAGGTGATTCAGGAGAGAGGAGGACCATAGGACTGTGCAGAGCCCTGAAGGAGAGAGGTCAAAGAGACACCAAACCCAAGGGAGCACAGGGAAGGCACAGAAAAACCACTCTATGACAGCAGAATTGGCTTTGCTGCCCTGTGGGGCACTTTGTAAAAGCACCATTTCCCAGCCCGGCCCAAACTTCAGCATTTTGTGCTCTTCCAAGCAATATCTGGGACCAGTTAGCTTCCAGGAATCCTGCCCAGGTGGGAATGAGCAGAGAACATCACCCTCAGACATCACAAGGATAATGTAGGTGAGGATCTGAGGAGCTGGAGCAGATGAAGGGCAGTTCAGGATCAGTGCTCAGCCAACACAACCTTTGCTTACTCTCTGAGTATCCCCAGCCAAAGTAACACCCAGCAATAAACACAGTTGCTGACCTCTTCCTGCTAATTTAAATGAATAATAAAGGCAAGTGCAGCTTTCCCAGTGCATTTTAATTATGTGATAAGAAAACTGCTGAAACCAAAAGAAATTTGCAATGGTCCCTGCATTTTTGTATTAGGAAAAACAAGCAAGGGTGGCAGGTGATGCTTCCGTATCCAAGAGTTCATTTTAATTAACTCCTGCAAATGAATAGACTTTTTGCTTTGGCTCTGGTTGGGTCACTGTGACTGAAAACATGACAGCCAAAAAAAGAGCTCTGAATGGTCCAGGTTGTGATTAAGCCACAGGTTTCCCTGGTGACACCAGGTGACAGAACATTTCTCTCCTTTTGGCCATGTTTATGTTTTCCTGGCTTTAGGCAAGTCTGTGAGTGCTCTGTGGGGAAAGCTGTGACAATCCTCCACATGACCCCATGATCCTGGAAGTCTTTCCCAACGTTAATCACTCTATGATTCTATGGAGCATCTTTCGAGATTTGAGCAAAAAGTGGTACCCTGGGAAGTGCCAGGCTGCTCCAGTGCTGCAGGAGGAGGGGATTCATCATTTCATGGGAGAGGCTGGAGAACTGGATGTGGTCAGAAATAGGAGCCCTTCTGCCCACAGGCGTGTCCTGAAGGCTGGTGGGGATTAAATCCTCCACAGAGCAGGGGTTGGATCTGTTCTTCACTCTTCTCCCCGTTGTGTCTCTGCTATGCCTGAAGCCAAGGGCTTCCTGCTCTCCATCCCTGCTGGATTTGAGATGCAGGAGGTGTTGTGTGAGCTCTAGTGGAGATGAACTGAGCCTAGAACAGGCTTTGGTGCTGTGCCCAGGGGAGCCCCCTCTGTGACTGGGTCATGGCAGGGTCACATACCTCAGATATTTATAAAGGCTGTGTCTGGGCTGATACAGGAAAGAGAGCCAAGGATGGATTTCTATCCCTAACACAAGTGATATTCTCTCCTGTCCCATGGAACAAACACAAGCAAGGACAGGTTGGTCTTGGAAACAGCCACGTTGGGGCAAGAACAGGTATAAGAAATATAAAGAAATTAAGAGTTAAGTGCTGTGAGTAATCAGAGTGTAAAGGCAGGTTGTGGACACAGGGATTGCCAGGGCTCTGTCCCTATATCAAAACTCAATATCCCTGTTGTACCCACAGAGTGGAGACAAGCAAGTGGGGCAAGGATGATCCTGCAGGATGAAGACATCACAACCAAGATAGAGAATGACTGGAAGAGGCTCAACACCCTGGCACACTACCAGGTAACTGTGAGAGAATGGATGGGAATCAGATCAGCTCATAAAACAGAAAGGAGAAGGGCAAAATATTCTTTTGCTCAGGGAAGAGGCAGAATCAGCATCCCTGGAAGTGTTCAAAAAAAGATGTGGCACTTCGGGACATGTTAACAGTTGGACTTGATGGTCTCAAAGGTCTTTTCTAACCTTGATGATTCTGTGATTTTATGACTATAAGATGCAGAGGTCAAGAATGGTTGAGTGGGCAATAAACTGGACAGACTCTCCACGTTGAGTTTATCCACCCTGTTCCACTGTCCTTGTCAGAATTACCCAGAGGAGATAAAGCCAAGGGTAGGAAAAATTTCTCTCAAAGGAGGGGCACCCTGGTGAGTGAAGGGTGTGAAGAAGAAATGTGGCCACAAAGATAACACAAGTTAACATTTCTCATGTAGACAAAAAAAACCCCAAGGCCTTCCATCCTCCTTTTTCCCATGCATCAGTGGCCTTCTAATTCCAGCAGAGTTCAGAAGGATGGAAGAGAGAAAAATGGAAAGAGGGAGTCTGAGTGTCTTGAAGAAGGAGGTGGGAAACAGCATCACTGGAGAACAGGGTGCAGTGGGGTTGTTGCTGACCCAGGAACAATTGTTTTGAACCCCTGTCCTGGTCCTTGTGACCTGCTTTGGGACAGGACTTTCCCTTCATCTCTGCATGACCTTGAAATCCATAGTAGAGAGCTAAAGAAGTCTGAGAATATCTTACACGAGTGGTAATTTAATAAAAAATGAAGTTTTGGTCAAAAGCTTCTTCCTTGGAAAAAAACCAAACAAGAAGAAAAGCACCTCATTAAGTTTAATCCAATGCTGACAATTTTGTCCTTTCCTCAATCACACTTCAGCAATCTATGTTTCATAACAAGATTATTCTCTCTTTTCATTTAAGAGCTGACCTGAGGAGGCAGCAAGCAGTAATTTGAAAAGGAAACAAAACTTTTTTCCCTTCAGATTGACTGAAACATTGCTGACTTTTTTTTTTTTTTCCCAGAGAGAACAAGGGCGTTTTCTATTTTATTTCAACAACAAACCAGGCAGAATTTTCTTTCCTTCATGTCCTTTTTCCATGTTCTTTTTTTTTTTTGCTGCAGGCAATGAGCTCCCAGCTATAGGATGAGCTGTGGCAGAACAGGCCCTCAGCTGCCAGGGTACATGGTTTCCTGGCTGTCCTGAGGGCTCACATGGATCATGCAGGGACAGACACTGATATTCCTTTTTTTGCCTCAGTTTCCCCATCTTCAGTGTGGGGCTGAAACTACAAAGAGCCAATAATTGCCTTCAGTGATAGCTGAGGGGCTATTTAATTAGCCTCTGCAGTGCTTTGAAGATGAAAAACTCCATGCAAGTGCTAATTATTATTATTACACAGCCAAGAGTTAGACGTTGTTAGCGGGGGCTTTTTTCGCCCGTCTCGTTTTTGTGATGTCTTATTTATCACAGATGGTCCTGATATGGCTCTTTTAGCATTTCTGATATGGGACCCACATGTCTTGCTGGAGAAAGGGGAGATCTGGCTCGTTTCAGAAAGCTCTGTGGTCTGTTGTAATACAATCCCATGGCACCCTGGAGCTCAGCCACTCCAAACCTGCTGCTTTTCCCTGTCTGAGCCCCCCCCTGACACAGCAAAGGGAAAAGTTGTGCTGGTCACTTCAGTCCAGCAGTGGATTTGTCACATGGAAGGGGGAGACAGTGCACGGAGAGGTTGAAAGTGGAAAATCCAGACATCCATTTCTTCACTGGGCACCCAGAGATCACCTGCAATCAGGGTGGAAGGAACAGAACGTTTCCCATCAAGTTTATCATCCATGTGGGACAGCCAAAGCTTGTTTGAAATTGCTCAGATGATTTTATTCTTCTCACACTCCTTTTCTGCACAAGAGCTTCCTTGACAAGAACCTGTTGTCAGATTTACTGAGGTTAATGCAAAAAACGTCCCTGGAAGTGTTTGAAAGGCCTCTGGATGTGGCCCTTGGGGACATGGTTGAGTGGTGAACATGGCACTGCTGGGTTAATGGTTGGACTCAGTGATCTTAAAAGCCTTTTCCAACCTAAATTATTCTCTGACTCACATTGTCATCACTGGGCTTTGAATCAGGGCCTGAATGGAGCACAATGTGTCATCAATTGTCCCATTGCCCAAGTGCAGGATTCTAATTGTGTAACAGCAGATTTTGTCCCTTTTTTATTAAAAAGACAACTCACTGAAGAAAGCATTGGAAGCTTGGAGTCAAAACTACTTGTCCTGCTTCCCCTGACACTGGTTTGCAGCTCAGTTTCTGCTGCCTTTGGCATGGTCCTCAACCTGTTCTCAGAAGCTTACTGACCAAGCCCCTTTTCCTCTACAGGTGCCAGATGGATCTGTGGTAGCTTTAGTGTCCAAGCAAGTCACTGCCTACAATGCAGTCAACAACTCCACAGTCTCCAGGACGTCAGCCAGCAAGTATGGTAAGGATTTGTGTGCTCCTATGGACTGGGAGAGCTCTGGGGAAGAGATCCCAAACATTGTGGTGCTCACAAGACACGGAGCACCAGCGGGGAGAGTGACGGGCAGATGATTCCTTGATGAGATTGCTTGAGGAATGGCAGGAAGAGAGGATTCAGCCATCTAAAACTTTGGCATCTGGTTCAAGTTGTTGAGCCAAGAGGTTGGATTGCTCTCGGGAAGTTCTCCTCCCTCATTAATGAAAGGAGGAGCCTTTTTAATTAGCTGCCCACATCTTAAATCACTGGGTGTCACTCATAGAGTCTTGTATCAGTATATCCCAAGGGGGTGGATTGTTGTTCCCACTTTACCCGTGAGACAACTGAGAATGAGAGAGCTGTGAAAGACAGACCAGGTGGAAACTGCTCTGTAGAGCCAAACAGGGACCTCCTGAGTCTCCCTCACACCCCTTTCTCCCTGAGACAGAACTGCAGCCCAGGATGTGTCTCACTAAGGGGATGCTGGACAGCAAATCAAAACCTCTCTGATGTGCAACCAGAGCACTGCAAACCCCCCCTCCAACCTGGATGCTGCTGTTATATCAATTTATTATTATTTTTAATGTATGAAAGCATCTCCAGCCCTTTTTCACTCCCTTTATCTTGGAAAGCAGAGTTCCTCAATGTCCAGAGGAACCCCCTTCCACTTTCTCCAAGGACATAAATGATCCACCAGGCCTTATTAATATTCATCCTCTTTGCCATGTTGTTGCAATTACTGAAAGACACAGTGACCTTTGAAAAGGAAGACTTGAGGGGGGTTAATTTCTGTTGGATTTCTTTAATTCTTTTGCCATTTGATTTTTCAGGAGGAGGGAGTGGGGAAGGAGGCAGGGGGAGGAGAAGATGTGGTGGGTCAGAAGTGATTGTTAATTGCAATTAAGAAAACAGCATCCAGAGAGAAAAAGGATATTCCATCTGATAATTAATATGTAGAGATTGGTAATGCATTAATGAGGCTGATTCAGGTCTTGCTACAGAAAGGTGCAACACTTCTGTTAATTATGGTTGGAAAAGCCTGGATCTGCTGCATTGCTGGAAGGTCAGGGAGAGGGGAATGCCTTGTGCCATGACTCAGAGGCAAAGGGAGGTAAAATTTGGAGGCTAAAAGCCTTCTTGGAGAGGAAATTTGTGTGGGCCCACCTGGGGTTCTGGTTCATTTCTGCCAAAAATAAGATTTTGGAGCAGGGAGTGAAGTGGATGAGTGGGCAGGAATTTGGTTGCTTTGGTGCCAAAGGAGTGAGGGATGAGGAGCTAGACAAGAGGTGACACTGTGCCAAACAGCATGGCAGGGTATGGCTAAACATCCATAGGGGTAAAACCAGTTACTCAGCCATACTGGTTACCAGGAGTAACTGGTATTGTCCTGGACAGTGTCTGACACTGACAGTGCCAGTTGTCCCAGGCCAAAGATTTTTCCAGGGAACAAGATAAGAGGTAAAAAGTGTGGACAACTGGAAATCAGTGTTTGAACCTCATTTAATTTAATGGCATATCGACATCACACCTGGCTTGGCTGACCCCCCCTTGCCTTTCCCGAGCAAACTCACTCGGCTAATGCTTTGAAAAGCACCTAGTAGGTGTCATATCATCGGGACATTCCCTGAAAATCCCAATGGGAGAGCTCCCAGGGCTGAGAGCCCTCATCTCTCTCCACAGAAAACATGATCCGCTACACGGGGAGCCCCGACAGCCTCCGGTCCCGAACCCCCATGATCACCCCCGACCTGGAGAGCGGGGTCAAGATGTGGCACCTGGTGAAGAACCACGAGCACGGTGACCAAAAAGAGGGTGACAGGGGCAGCAAGATGGTTTCTGAGATCTACCTGACCAGACTTCTTGCCACCAAGGTACGTGGCGGGGGGCGGGGAGGAGGGTGGGAAATGCTTGGTTTGAGGCCGTGGTGGGGTTTCTTGCCACCAAGGAGCAAGAGACCACTCAAAGGGTGCTGAAGGAGGATAAAGAGCAGAAGGAAATTGCTGCTCCGAGCACGTAGGGAAGGAGCTGGAACTTAGAAAGCAGAGTGAAAAAAGGGACACTGGAAAAGGAACAAGGAGTAAAGAATTCAGGGCCATGAGACTGGTGGAGAGTCAGCACAGGGGGAGGGGCTGGGGATGTCGATTGGACTGGTTTGTAGTTTTGCCCAAAATTAAGAGCAAATGAAGAGCCAGAGAGTAAATGTGCCCAGCTCAGGTTCCAAGGATGTGTCAGGCCTCACAGCCTGAAATGGGTTCCCATGCCAGAAACCTCTGAGTTTTGTTGTACAAATCCTTCTTCTCCACCTTCCCCCGGGACAATAAAGACTTTAGTGCTGATGTTTTGGCAGGGGTTTAAGTTGACTATGATGTCAGTGGATGGCCAGCTCCAAGGAGTGCAAATCCCCCTGGTCTGAGACGTAGAAAGCTCAGGGGCTCCAAAGAGAAAGTACAGGTCAAGTCAGGTGGAAGCAGAGCAGGGACATCCTGAATGGAATCTCCAGACGCATCCAGAGCTCTGACTATTTATTATCTTCAGTCAGGGTGTGAATAGGCACAAACACAATTTCATGTGTTTGTGCAAATGCCATCTGAGTTCAGACCCCCATCACTTGTTTAAGTCCTACCTTACAGTTTTATCTGCACATTTATTCCTCAACTCATTTTGCCTCTGATGTCTCACTCTCCCTGCAGCCTCACTCAAGCTGGCTGTGTTAGAGAGGGATCTGGAGATAAAGTGGCTTTGTCTTTAGCCCCTGGTACCTGCCCCATTCCCTGGCATCAAGATGCTTTTATGGATCACAGGGCTAAAAGAAAATGATGCTCCCCAGGGCTCTGGCCCCAGCTGGTGTAAACCAGCAAGCATTGGAGCAGTGCTGATTTCCACTGTCTGGGGATATGTCCCCTATGCCACCACTGAACTGCTTTTGCTTTGTGTTCTGGGTCACAGATTCAACACTTGGGTTGTTGGTTTTTCTGTGGAAATGGCAGAAAAGCAGCTGTAAGACTTGCACAGAAACAAAGTAGGAGGGTTGGGGGTTTATTGTTTCCCCTCTTGGGTTAAACAATTTTATTTTCTCATCATGACCGTTTGAGGGAGGGAAATAGGAGAGAGAGCAATTGCTGGTAATACAATCCCCAGGAATACTTAGTTAAACTGACAGTGATTTTTATTCTGGTAAATCTCTGACCTCTGAGACCTGGATCCTCCTGCCTGAAAGCCTCAGAGGTTTTCTTTGTGTTTGTGTGGGTGAGCACGTAGAGAACTAATTCCCTGCAGCAACTGAACCTGAGGGCAGCTCCTCCATGTCAGAGCAACAAGATTTCCCCTCAGGGGCCCTTTCTGAGTCACACATGTGCTGTAGGGCTTTACTCACCCTGTAGGAGTTCACACAAGGTGCCTCTGTTGGTTTCCCAAAGAATAAATCAAGTGGTGAATCAGCCAGAGACATCAGCTTTCTAATTAAGTGTTTGTACCTCTATGTAAACTCGAGCCACTCTGGTGGAACCTGGTGCTCTGTTTCCAGAAAGGAGAAATTCCTTTCCTGGGTCTGCAGAGAAGAAAGAGAAGAATTTTACTTTTCAGAAGAGGAAATTTTGCACATCAGGAGCTGTTTGTTGGAGGTTCAATTATTTTTTGGTTGTTTTCACAGCTGTGTGGTTTGTTCACATAGAAATGCCTGTGAAGCTCTGGTGGCAGAGAAAACCTGCCTTGCCTGGTTCTCCCCAAAGTCCAGCCTAAAGCTCCTCTGCTGCCCTTCTGTCCAACCCTCTGATATTCCAGCTACTCTCCTTCTTGCTAAAGGTCAAATATCCTCATCAGGGTAGTTTTCCAAGCTCAGGATTTGAGATTCTCCTCCCAGAGGAGCAGTGGACATTCCTGAGCTCTGCAGAGTAGTGCATGGCAGATCCATGCATTGCTTTTAGGATTTGCCTTAGTCCCATGCCAGTGGATAGTAAAAAATGAGGAGGCCTCTTGGGAATTAAGAAGAATTTTGCCTTATTTATTAAACCAGTCACACGTGTAAACCAACTGCCTCTCTCTAGGTACTCTTGTCCTATTTGTCTCCATGACACCTTCTGCTGTGCTCTACAGCCATCTGACTTCTATTCCCAGCTTAAAAAATGGCCCTGGGTGAAAAGCCAGCCTAGAAAATGGCTGGGTTTTGTCTCATGAGTGCACTAAAGCAGTTGGGGATGGGATACAGAGGAGAGGAGTCTCACTGGAAGCAAAGTGGGGCCTCTCTATCACCATGTACCTGAGATGGAGGAAGGTGTCCCACCTCAGCTCAGCCACCTTCCAGGCAGGGAATGCTCAGAGCAGGGAGGACAGGGAGCACATCTGGACCTGGCTGACAACCAGGTGTAGTGGTTATTGTGACACCTGTATTGAAATTCCCAAATCAGGTCACATTTAACTGATATTTCATGGCTCCCATTTTCCAATCACACCCTCAGGGCCCTGATCCACAGACACGCTCTGTGTCCAGGGAGGTACCAAAATTCAGCCTCCTCTTCCCACTTGTTGTCTCACGTTCCTCTTCCCTTTCTCCTCCCGACAGGGCACCCTCCAGAAGTTTGTAGATGACCTCTTTGAGACCATCTTCAGCACTGCCCACCGTGGCAGTGCCCTCCCCCTGGCTATCAAGTACATGTTTGATTTCCTGGATGAGCAGGCTGACAAACACAACATCCACGACCCCCACGTGAGGCACACCTGGAAGAGCAACTGGTGAGTGACACACCCCAGCATGGCCCAGCACCAGGCACTGGGCTGGAAGGAGAGTAAAGGAACATGTGGTTTGGAATCTGGCTGCTGGGGGAGAGGAAGAGCCTGGTGTGGGATTCAGAGCACCAGGTTTTCATAAGTCAGAATATCCCAGAATCTAAATAAGTCTCCCAAGGATGGAGAACTTTGGCTAAACAGGCCCAAGTTTGCCTGTATTCCACGGGAATGGCAGCATTTTTGAGGTATTTCATGTGGAAAAATGCTGAAGTGTTTAACTGCTGCAGTGCCCAGGACCATGGGAATACCTAGGGAGGTGTGGGAGAGGATTCAGCACCACTGTCTTCATCTAGGCAAGGTGTTTGAATTCCCACTATGTTTAATTCCCACTATAGTCAGGATGGGGCTTAAAGCTCCATTTGTTTGCCCACACAGAGGTGTCTAGTGCCAGCTGGGATTTTTTTAAGATATCCCAGATGTGCACAGGGAATGTACAGCACCCACAGGAGACCATCCTGGGTGGCAGCTGGAGGCCAGGAAAGCATCTCCAATGGTACTGAGCATTTAAAGGGTCTGGAGGTGGATGTGAGTCTCCTTTGGATTGAGTGACAAAGTGTGACATCAGTGACAAAGTGTGACATCAGCCCCTGCTCTCATCAGGCCTCTCCTCATTTATGTAATAGGACAGTGGGGAAAAATCAGAATTGGTGGAGAAAAACCTCCTCTCTACTGAGTATCCCTTTTGGAAAGACATCCCTGGGGAATCACTCCCTCCCCTTCTCCTGTGCAAATAGAGGGACTATAAAAGGAGCAGCAGAGGAGAGCCATGGGGCTCCCAGCTCATGCATTTTTTCCCTTTCCCAGCCATGCTCATGGCAGATCGTCACAGGCAGTGACATAAAAAAAGAAACCCCACGCACCAAGGAGGCTTTCAACTAATGAAACATTAGCATATTATTAACATTATCTGCAGCACTAATCTAAGGCTGATTGCAGCCACTCAGACTAAATGAGCAGGAGGTTTGTTTAAGGGGGGAGGGGGGAAGGCAGTGTGTGTGTGTGTGCCTGTGTGTGTGGAGAAAGGGGCAGTCTGGAGAAATCTGTTCCATCAGATTAAATGAACTCAAAAATCACGTCAGGGGCTCCGAGGGCCATCACCCCCAGCCCTTTCCTGCCCTCGGGTCACACACATGGACTCTGCTCGTCCTCATGCTGGCTGTGCCTGTCATCCAAACACCTGCAGAAGGACTTTTGCAGGGGTCACTCAACCACCTCGTCCTCCAACTGAGGATCCTCCATCCCCAGCCTAAAATGTTTTCCCCCACAACTCCATCAGGTCTCATTGTCATTCTTTACTCATTATTTACTCAGAGGCTGGGGAGGCCCTGGTACAGGTTTCCCAGAGAAGCTGTGGCTGCTCCATCCCTGGAAGTGTCCAAGGCCAGGTTGGACAGGGCTTTGAGCAACCTGGGCTAGTGGAAGGTGTCCCTGCCCATGGCAGGGGGTGGAACTGGATGATCTTTAAGGTCCCTTCCCACCCAAACTAGTCTATAATTCTCCAATTTCCAGCATCTCCCACTTCTCCTGAACCTCGCAGGCAGGATTCCCTGTGTGGGGCTTTTCTTACATTTGTTCTATAATTTTTTGGCTCAGGAGAACACAAGGTTTAGGAAAACATGGTGTTATCCCTCTGCCAGGACACGTTAAACTGCCTGTTGTGACCCAAAATATATCACACTTGGAGCTGAATTTTTTACAGTGAACACATGGGGGTAATGAGCAAATGGAAGGAACTGGGGAGTTTAGCTGGAATATCAGGAGAATTTGTTGAGCTGAATAACATCCTCCTCTTGGGAAGGTGCAGAGAGTGAAGGTTGGCTTAACATTCTGCCTGACAGAGAGACAAGAGCTGGGCTCTGTGATCAGTGACATGTCTCAGCTCCTAGGCCATGATCACTTGAATGCCTTTGCCCTGACAAAAAGGCTTGAGGCAAAGGCTGGAGGTTGATACCTCAGGGCATCTCATCCAAATGAACCGCTCTTTTGAAAAAAATTGGAAGGGAGAAAGGGCTTTGGATTGCAATTGGAATAACATTTCCTTGGTTAGGGCAGATAGATTTTCATTTCAAAGGCTGCAATGCTTGTTTCCCAGCTCCTCTTTTTTTTTTTTCCTTGAGGCAGCAGGTTTTTCCCTGTCATGTAGCAACTGCTTCATGCCCAGTGTGCTGGGATTGTTTGCAGCCTTGGGTTTGAGGGTGGATTGTGACAGTGCACGGTGTCCCCAGCACACAGTGCATGCCATGAACATTCCCAGCCTCATCCTGGGAGCTCTACCTACTCTTCTTCCCAGGGGGTTGCCACAAGGGCTGAAAGCCAAATTCCTCAGTGACAAATGTTTAGAATCACAGAATGATTTGAGCTGGGAGGGACCTTAAAGATCCTCCAATTCCAGCCCCCTGCCATGGGCAGGGACACCTTCCACTAGACCAGGTTGCTCAAAGCCCTGTCCAACCTTGCTTTGAACACTTCCAGGGATGTGGCAACCTGTTCCTGTGCCTCACCACCCTTACCATCCATAAGTTTTATGGATGCAGTGCCTGTGTTTGTCTGATGAAGCAACAAATAGGGGCCAAATTACATTGCAACTTGATGTATAGAAGCTTGGAAGCATTGTCCTCACCTCAGATATCACGGGATCACAGAATCACACAATCAACCAGGGTGAAAAAGCCCTCTGAGATCGTTGAGCCAAATCTGTGACTCAAAACCACCTTGTCACCCAGACCATGGCCCTGAGTGCCTCATCCAGTCTCTTCTTAAACACCTCCAGGGACGGTCACTCCACCACCTCCCTGGGCAGCCCATTCCAATGTCCGATCACTCCCACTAATTTATGTGCAACTTTAATAAGATTGTATTGACTTAAAGACTGCCAGAATCTGCCCTGTGAGGATACCAGGGAGCAAAGCCACTCCTGAGGTGACTCCACTGCTGTCCCTGGAGTGTAGGGGAGGAATTTATTTTCTATCTATTTCTTATCCTGAAACCCTCATCTCCCCACCATGAGTTTTGATTTCCACCCACCACTTACCATTGTAACCCCACACAACAAAGCCTGTGAGCTGTGCCCTGACTGTCTTTCCCCTCTTGCAGCCTCCCCTTAAGGTTCTGGGTCAACATGATCAAGAACCCACAGTTTGTCTTCGACATCCACAAAAACAGCATCACAGATGCCTGTCTGTCTGTGGTGGCCCAGACCTTCATGGACTCCTGTTCCACCTCAGAGCACCGGCTGGGCAAAGACTCCCCCTCCAACAAGCTCCTCTACGCCAAGGACATCCCCAGCTACAAGAACTGGGTGGAAAGGTGAGTTTTAGCCCTAGAAATAGGAATGACATGAGTAATTCAGCAAGGCCCTGCTTCGTGATGCCAGGAGGTGTCACCACTGTTGCCTTTGGGAGATGCCTCTGGGCTTTTTCTCTTTGGGTTTTGCTAGGCAGAGATCTCCATGTCAGCCTTTTGTTCCCAAGTGCCTTGCAGCAGAGATGGGAATTTAATTAGAGGTGTGAAAGAAGGTGTTTGCCTTTATTGTTTCTCGTGAGGAGAAACTGTTGAGAAGTTGTAGAGGGAGGAAGGAAGGGGAGGTGATGTGTTTGAGCCCTGTGAAGTAAATGGGCTTCTAAGTCTTTCCACACAGACCAGAAGTGGTTTGCTGTTCTCAGCATCATTGTGACAGTCCCCACACTGCCTAGATCCCAAGGGACATACAATTATCTCCCAGTAACTCTCCTTGGAGGCTCTTCTGTGCTTTGAGTGAGATGCCAGAAGACTGACAGGCTGGTGACTGAAGCCCTGCAGGTGTTTTCTGAATGGTCACAGGTCTTTCCAAGTGTTTTATCCACATCTACAAGACCCGAGGCTCCACTGTTCAGTCTCCTGTGGCTCTGCTGTTCAATCTCATGTGCTGAAAGTCAGTGTCTGGCAAAGCTGCTCCACAGTGAACACAACCAAAACAACTATTCCTGCAGCATGTTGGAACTTCAGTTTCTGTAGGGTTTGCCCCAGGAAAAGCAACCAGCCCATCCTGCACTCCATTCAGTGTGATCCTTTCTGCTGGAGGAAGCTTTGCAGCAGTTGATCTGTGCTTTGTTTTCCAAGGCTCTCCCGGTGTTATTGGCAGGTTTGGGACCTGCACAGGTGGAGAATGGTTGTTACTCTGTAAATACAAAGGCAGGTTTATCTTACAGATCATTCCTGTACAATGCACCCAGTTTCCAGCAATGATTTCTCTGGGTGACTTCATAGGCGCGGCCTAAAACTGATACCATGTCATGCAGGTTGTAGGAGACCTCTGCTGCTGTAGACACCTCACACTGCCCAATAAATCCCTGGATTTCCTTTGATGGGGATAGTTTTCTCTCATTTTGTCAAAGAGGAGTGTGAATGATCAAAGAGCTCTGTCCCCTGGTTGGCACAAGGCAGCATTTTCCCCAACGGTTCTCCCATTGGTGTGCGATTTGTCTGGAGAATTATTTTTAGATGTGGTTAAACACTTCAGCAAATGTGGTTTCTAGGCAACCTGTAAGGCCCTCACAAGCCACCTTGCTTAATTATGACCTACTTCTGGTACTGTGTCCAAGTTCCTTAGTGTGTATTGAGGCTGATTGCTGGATTGACCTGGATAACGGGAAGGAAATATTTGAGATTCATTTACAAATCAAGTTTGCACCAACAGTGACCCAGAGATGTCACACTCTAGTGATGCTTTAACAACATTCTTTGTGTTTGGTTGTTTTCTGTGGACAAATATTTTGTTTGACAGATGAACCTGGTTGATTTTTATCTTTGGAGAAAGTACATTTGAGTGACAGAGGTACAGAAGTGGAGAATAGGAATTTCCTTATGCAGCACCTTTTTTTCCCTCGCTGGATAAAGAAAAGGAGCAGTTTCTGTTTTGTTTTTTTCAGTATTGATTTCACTTTGCAACTTTTTGGAGCTAAATCCTGGTGCCCAGAGATCTTCAGCAGTAGGTGCTGCATTTCCTTGGAAATTTTCCCAAACAACTGGTGCAGTGTCCAAGTTCCTCAGTGTGTATTGAGGCTGATTGCTGGATTGACCTGAATAATGGGACAGTAGAGTTTGAGATTCATTTAGAAATCAGGTTTGCACCAATACTGACCCAAAGATGTCATTCTCCAGTGATGCTTTAACAACATTCTTTGACTGTGGTTGTTTTCTGTGGCCAAATACTTTGTTTGACAGATGAACCTGGTTGATTTTTATCTTTGGAGAAGGTACATTTGAGTGACAAACTGAGGTACAGAAGGGGAGAATGGGATATTTTTTCTGTGGATTAAAAAAGGGCTGCAGTTTCTGATTTTGTTTTTCCAGTATTGATTTCACTTTGCAACTTTTTGGAGCTAAATCCTGGTGCCCAGTGATCTTCAGCAACAGTTGCTGCATTTCCTTGGAAGTTTTCCCAAACTACTGGGTTTGCAAACGAGGTACATAACACCTCCTGCTGCTCCTAAACATCACTGGATGTCTGACCCCAGCATGTGCTGCATTGTTTTCTGCACTCAGTTCTGACAACTTGAACTGAAGCCCAAGGGGAGGCTGTGGGGTTTGGAATATGGTTACAGCTTCTTCCCTGCTTATGTTTTTGTGTGTCAGATCCACTGACTCAGGGCAGTGGCACCTGGATGCTGTGGTAGATGAAAGGAAAAAAACATCTCAGGGATGAATAAAATATAATTTCAGTTCTACCCTGAGCTAATTAATTCCTTTTCTCCATTCTGCAATTGTGCTTTGAGGGAGTTATTCCAAATCCAAAGGCTCCCAGTCCTGGTTGGAGCTATTTCTGTAGTCAGCATCAGCTGGAGGAGGCATCCTTCAAGACCACTAGATTTCTTCAGAGGGTGAATCAGGAGATAAAAAGATTTTTCAGTTGTGGAGTTTAAGAAGTGGTTGAGTAAATCAGAAGAACCTGAAATCAAATGAACTTCTTTGATGAAGAAGAAACTCTAAGAGGGTAATTAGGCAGTGGGAGATTGTACCCAACTCAGAGGCACTCTGGAGTAAAGAAAGACTCTTGGCTTTTAAGGAGCTGCTGGAATGGAGCTGAGCTGGGCCACTCCAAGCCATCCCTTTGAAAAACTGGTTCCTTGGTGTAGAATGTGCCTTCAGGACTCCCAAAACTCAGAGCAGGAAATGACCTTGGCATAAGAAGCGGGAATGGTTGAAAGTATCTTCCTCCAGTCCTTCAAACAGTGGTTTTCCACCTCTTTAGGCTGTGAATGTACATTGAGAGGGGAAAAGTTACAAAATCTGGTCTGACCAGTGGTCTACTTCCACGCAGGAGTCACCTGGAGATCTGATTCCAAAAGATTTCAATAGCAAGGCCATCAGGAACCTTCTTCAGTGGTTTTGTTTATTTGTTCGCCTCTTGGAAGGATTTTCTCATGTTTTCAGTTACTTGTTTGTGATGATTCAAGTTTTAAAATTTACCAATTTTTTCAATTCCATGTCACCTTCATGGAAAACTGTAAAGGATATTGAGAATTCCCATGACATTCTGAGAGGTTGGTTGTTTTAGTGTCCATTTCTATGATCATCCAAGGCAATGGATTTGCTGACAACAGCAAGAAAAAAAATTACTGTGCCTCACTTAAGTCTAGTTGAAGCTGTCCCCACTCATTGCAGGGGGACTAGATGACCTTTAAAGGTCCCTTCCAACCCAAACCATTCCATAATTCCGTGACAGTCCTTTACAACACTATTGGAAGCAGGGGTGGACTCTGCCTGCTGAAACAATCCTGGTGAGGCAGGAGAATTAACCCAGGAAATGGGGACAGGCTCTTTGACTTTTGTTGAAGCCATGAAGATCCAGGCTGCAGTTCTAAAACAAAGTGTAGGCTTTTCAATTATCATTATATGAGTCTATTGAAAAAAAAGTATTAAAAAAAAAAAAGAGGAAAAGAATGGGAACGGTGGAGCAGAATCTCGTCTGACTTCAGCTGGTAAAACTCCATAGGCTTTGCTGAATTTACATTAGAGCAGCTTCAGATCTGCATCTTTTCAAGTTTACTTCAAATGTCCCCTTTGAGCCAGGAAATCTGGAGAACTTGGGAGCATTTGATGCAATCCCCAAGCAATACAAAGGGGAGCCTGTTCTAATTGGGGCTGTCTCATTAGCATTCAACACCACACTGAAAAGATGACAAAGGGCTGTGGCTGACCTTTCATTTCTCTCCGTGCTGCCAAGCTTATGATAACACTTGTTTGAACTTCATTAACACCATTTAATTGCCTGCATCACAATCAATATGATGTTTCCCTACCGAAGCCTGGCACGGAGACAGGGATGTGGGAGACTGGAAAGGGGCAGAGCACAAAAAGCAGAAGCCCAAGAGTATTTCCATTTCACACTGGTGCCCAAAATACCTGCAGTGCTGAAAGGAGAAGAACTGGTGCTTTTTTTTCCTCACCCCTGCAGGGACTTGGTCTCCTTTTGGCTGCCAATTGTGCATTGAAAAGAGCCCCTCAAAGAAAAACTGAAAGTCAATGGAGACATTACAAGTATTCTTAACAGCTTAAGAGTCACCCAGCAAAGACCATTTCAAAATAGGCCTGCCGGGATCAGGACTGAAAGAAGTTTGAAGTGATATGTGGTATTCAGAGTTCTAACACCTGCATTTTATCATGGTAACCTGGGTGCAAACACTGCCTGACTGAGCTGGTGGTACCCAGGTCCTGTGTCCATGGTCTCACCTACTTGTTTTTTCCTTGCACAGGCACATAGTGATAGGGCAAGGGGAATGGTTTTAAACTAAAAGGGAGAGATTTAGGCACAACTTAGGAAGAAATTCTGTGCTCAGAGGGTTGGGAGGCCCTGGCACAGGTTGCCCAGAGAAGCTGTGGCTGCCCCATCTCTGGAAGTGTCCAAGGTCAGGTTGGATGGAGCTTGGAGCAACCTGGTTTAGTGGAACGTGTCCCTGCCCATGGCAGGGGATGGGACTGGATGATTTTTAAGGTCTCTTCCCACCCAAACCATCCTATGATTCTGTGATTCCTGAGGCACCTATGATTTACATGCCATTAGTTCTAGATGTCAGGTCTTAGGCTTGTTAGAAAATGCTTTGGGAGTGTGTTTGGAATGCACAAAACAGCAAGTCTGTACCAATTCATGATCTAACCCACAGGGTGTGTCAGCTTGTGGTTTCAGGACTCTCTATTCACTAGAAGGTCTCCACCTGTGCAGTGCTTGATGTCTGTTGGCCCCTTTGCAGCCAACTTTAGGGAAAAAAAACCCACCAACTGGACTAGTTTAATACAATAAAGGTTATAAGTTTCATGCACCCAAACAT